TTGAAAGATTCGAAAAATAATTAGAATTATATAATATTTATATTTATTTATTTATTTATTTTAAGTATTATTACATCTTTATTAAAACCTTTTCTAAAAATTGTCACTACTCTTACATATTAAAATTTTAAAAATAAACTTAAGTAGAGCAAAGAAGCCAATATATCTTTTGAAGCTTTAAAAATAGCATTTATTTTTATATCAATTTTGTATTGTGTTGACTTCAAGAAAGTTCTTTTATGAAAATAGATGCATCAAAATTTGCTATATGTGATGTTGTTAGAAATGGAAACAGATGACAAGTTCTATTTGATAGCTTTCTATTCCATGAAATTTTTAGTAATCAAGATCAACTACAAGATCTACAATAAAGAACTTTTTACAAATATGGATTCATTTCAAGAATAGCATCATTATTTAGAAGATGCTTTTAATCCAGTCATTGTATATACAAATCACAAGAATTTCAAGTATTTCATGCTAATACATATTTTGAATTATCACCAAGCATGTCAAAGTATGTTTTTATTATGATTTTATTTCAAGATCACTTATCAACTCTGTAAACATTAAGCTTTGTTAAACATCCTTTCTACACGTTCTTATCTTACATTCAAAGAAAGATATATAGCTTTTGATTAACAAAGAATGATTTTCTTAAAATTGGAGCATTTTTGTATTTAAGCAATAAATCAATATTAACTATTGATGCAACTTTTCTTAAGAAATTTAAATCAAATGTGTTTGTTCATCTTCTTATTTATAATATTAAAAATAATTCTTCTAAATTTCATATTACTTCTAAGTTTGAATTCAAGAATAATCTATTCTATTTTAAAGGATAATTATATATTTTAAAAGAAAAAATATAATTACGTAAACTTAAGGCTTGTTACAACTTTCTAACATCAAGATATTTTGAATACAATAAGATTTTGGAGCTAATATCTAAAGATTTTTGATAGCCTCAATTAAAGAAGATAGTCAAAGATTTTGTGCAATCATTTGGCATTTGTTGAAGATTAAATCGACTTCATAGACTTCTTCATCCATTATCTATTCCAGAACAATAATGGTCATTTCTTTCTATAGATTTTATCATAAATCTTTTAATCTCAGATTTTTATGATTCTATATTTGTGATAATGTTTTTTTTTTTTATCAAGATAGTATATTTTGTATCATATAAAAAATCTATTATAAGTGAAGAAACAACTAAATTTTTTCTTGACAATATTTATTGCTATCATGGATTATCTTGAAAATATTATATTAGATAGAGGGACTCAATTTATATCAAAATTTTAGAGAACCCTATTCAAGATTCTAAAAGAAGGTTCAAAGCTATCTATGGCTTTTTATCCTAAAATCAATGGATAGATGGAATACATCAATCAAGTTTTAGAATAATATTTAAGATATACCATCAACTATCAATAAGATGATTGGACAATTCTTTTGCCATTAACAAAGTTTTTTCATAATAACACAATACATTCTTCTATATAACAAATACCTTTCTGTACTAGTTATACTTATCATCCATAACTTGAAGCTTTTGACTTTGCAAATTTTGATAATCTTGCAATACAAGATTTTATAAATTGTTTATATGAGCTACATACAACTATAAAGGCATAATCAAAAGAACCTCAAAAATGACAATAGACCAATTGAGATACCTATTACAAGGAATAATCTCAATTCTATATTAGCAACAAGATATAGCTACTTTGTTACAATATGAAGATTAACCGCATATGTGACAAGTTGCATTACTATAGGATTAGACCATTTTTTATTTGTAAACAAATTAATCCAATTTCTTATTAATTGTATTTACAAGAGTCTATGAAGATCTATTCTATATTTCATATTTTTCTTCTCAAATCATATAAGATAGTAATTATCTTGGAAAGAAAATAAATGATACACCTTCTTATAGTAATGGATAATAATCAAGAGTATAAGGTCAAAGTAATCTTAGTCGTAAGGTAGCACTAAAATAGGTTGAAATATCTTGTTCATTGGAGAGAATATGATATTAAAAAATGAATATGGAATCTAGCTAAAAATCTTGTAAATGCAACAAAGAAGGTTGATGCTTTTTATTAACAACATCTATCAAAATTAAGATAAAAAATAAAAAATCTTTATTATAATAGAAATATAATTTATAAAAGATTGGATTCTTTTTTCTACATTTATTTGTAGTTTCTATGTATTTGTAGTGCTAAAAAAATTAAGAATCAATAATCAGCAAATTTAATTTAAGAACTATTATTTGTTGACTTACTAGATGAGACATTATGATTGTCATAGTCTTAAAGATAACATAATTGAGACAAAATCCTTCAAGATAAGATATTCTTTGAATAGATGGCAAGACATAACATATTTAGTATCTTAATTTTGGAAGAGACTCTTCATCTTTGGAGATTTTACTGAAAATAAAAATGACTCTTAATGGTGTTTCAAATGATTTATTTAAAAGAAATTATAAAAGCCTCAACAATGATCAAATAATAGAATGGTCTTCTTATCCTAGTATGGGGTACTATTAATAGTTGAAAAGACCTATCAACCACTTTCATAGAAAACAAAGATTAGAGTATGTAGTAAATACAATTTGTTGCATCTTCGAATTTTTTAATATATGATGATTATTTCTTGTAGAACTCATTTCTAGAAGAGAAAATAATATCACAAACATACATACTTACCTAAATAAAAAATATTAGATAAAAAATAAATGTAGGTAGATTCTATATTATCTTGTAATGAAGCTTTTAGAAGCTTCATAGATGCATATTTGAGTTTATATATGTTTGTAGTTGATTTATAGGTTAAAAACTTGGCCAACAAATTAGCCACATGTTGCATGTATTGATAGCTTGTGATACAATCTAATGATGTGGTGCACAAATAGGAAACTTGTCTTGCAAATTGGACACCTATCAGAGGTACTATAAAATGTTTTCATGTAGCTCTGAGTTAGATAATATATTTGAAGGTAAGAATGAAGCCTTCTTTATTCTTGTCAATACCTTTTTAATCTCTAGTCTTATTTTAAGACTTTTTAATATTCTTATCTTTGATAATAATCATTCTAGCTTAATATTATACTATTGTTAAGTGATTCTCCAATCTTTCCTTATGACACAAGAATGTGTTGATCTTTTAGTTCTTTGAAATTTATGTCCTTGGCACTATGTTGATAGTGCAAAGGATTATTGTTCATGTAATATGAAATAAAATACATTATATTATCAAAAATTTTAAATAAGATGTTTTGAATATAACAACATTAAGCATAATAAAGAATTTTAAGATTTGTATAGTAATAAGAGAGTTTAATTGATAATTTAGGCTATATGTATATATATATATATATATATATATATATATATATATATAAACCATCACCTTCTATTAAATAGATATTATTACAAGTTCAAAATAATAGATGTAAACAAAAGCATACTTTCTTTCATTATTACTAATATATACCTAAATAAGTGTATTTGTAAGAACACAAGTACTTGAAGAATTAGAATTTTCTTAGAGACCTTCTAAATCATTTATATTCTTACTTGTATAGCACATTGTTTTTTATATAATCATTATATAATCTATTAATTTTACTATAATAAAAGAAATTTTATAATATAAATAAAAATAATTAGATTAAAAATATAATTTTTTTCATAGTAATAATTATATTTTTATACCTTCATATATAAGAAAAATTATCTATTAATTGCAGATAAATCAAATATAATGCAAATAATTTATAGAATGCTATAAGAATAAACTTGTTATTAAAGATTATGTATAAAAGATATTATTGGCTCCAAAAAGATCTTTTTTCTAATACCAAATAAAAAATTATTTTTATTCAATTTTTAGAATTAAAAAATATGTTATTGCTTAAATTTAATCTACATATTTTATTTTCATTTAATTATTTAATTATTGATTATTTACTTTTTGATTTTGATTAATATTTTAAAAATAATACATCTTTAAATAAGAATATAATAATAAATATTATAATAATATTTTATGTTTTAAAATTGAAAATACGATTTTTTCAATGAAGATTTATTAGTTCTATATGAATTAAAATCATTGCATTTGCTTCAAGTATGTATATATATATATATATATATATATACATTAAAGCTCAATTACCTATGACCATGAATTTATTTAATACATATATTATATTAATATATTTTTTTATAATATTTTTTTAAAATAAAAATACTATAAATACATAAATATTTAAATTTCGGCAAATTTTTTATATATTTAATCATGTGATGAATAAAAATAATCTAATAATAAAATATTATTTCTATGTCCATCCAAACAAATTTTCTTTAAATACGCCACATTGTATGTACACATTAATACCATTCTATCCTACACAAAAGATACACATGCATACTCAAGTGAACAAAAAAATAATTAAAGTATAATAAAATAACATAAAAGACATGAGATTTCAATTGGTTATGTTTTGGCTTTTTATGTGATGCAACATGTTATTCCTGGAAATGATATGTCTCACTTTAAACAGCATTTCATTTGAAGTAAACTAATTTTAAAGAAACTTCATGTTTGATATTTTTGTGATTAAATTATTACATATTTTAAAGTTTTTGCAACAATCACTTAAAAACACACAATCAAATCTTCAAAAACACTTTGTTGGTACAAGTAGTGGTTACTCAACACCATGTTTGACATTCCCTCAAAAAAAAATACAAAAAGAAATTTAACATATCTTTCCAAACAGCCGTTTTTCACTCCTAAAAAAAAATATACAAAACCTTCATACCGACACGAAAAACCCTTTTCACACCTGACCCAGCGATGTCTAGGGGTTTAAGGCGACAGAATTGTGGCGCCGCGGTAGTGGGAGGCGAAGGCGCCTAGAGCACCTGTCACCGTGTCGCAGCGGAGGTGCTGGAGCCTCCTCGTGTCCTCGTCCTCGTTGTTTTTGTCGACGTCGTTCCTGCGTCTTTCTTGCTGTTTGCAGGAACACGGATCGATCGATCGATGTTTGCATCGAAATCACGTCAAATCTCGTCGCATGGCATCAAGCTCGCTTCTCACAGGAACGCTCAATCTCCCGGAAACAATGAATTACGACAAGTCATGGTGCTGCGCAGGGCGATCGTGTCAGGAGGCTCCACAGCCATGTACCAGAACCAGAACCAGAGCCAGGGAGTGCCTTTTTTGCAGTTACTAGTAGTGTCAATGCAAGCTCTCACAGCAGGCAACGGATTGTTAGTTTAGAAGCGACGCGTCCGAGCGACGCTTCGCGAGGGGGAGTTGCCTTTCTTGTCTCGCGCCGGTAGCCACCGCCACAACTGCACACCATCGTTCTACTTGGTGGTGGTGGTGGGAGGAGGAGGAAGAGGAAGCAGGGATGGCAGGGAAGGGAGGCGAGCGTAAGGAGGGAGGGGAGGTGAAGAAGGTGAGGAAGGGGAGTGTGCAGAGCTGGGATAGTAGAGAGAGTAGCGACGTGTCGGAATCGGAGGACGAGGGCAGCGGTGAGTACCGGCGTGGGGGTTACCACGCTGTGCGCATTGGCGACTGGTTTCACAATGGTCGGTATGTTGTGCACCGGAAGCTTGGATGGGGGCACTTTTCTACTGTCTGGCTTGCTTGGGACACGCATGGCAAGGTGCGCTATGGTCGTGTGCTGTTTTCCATTGCCCTGGGCTGATTGCACTGGTGATTGGTGCTCTTTGTGGAAGGCAGTTTGGAGTCTGTGAGCGTTTAGGGTTTGTGTGTGTGTGTGTGTTGCAACGGCATACAAGGTGGTGGATTTTAGGATCACGTGGTTTACAGGAAACGGGAGTGCTATGCAAGGCAAGACCTGCGTCTGAGCTGTGAGGTTTATGGGTATCGTAGTTTTTGTCATGGCGCGTGACAGGAGAGGATGCGTTTGTGGATGTGTGGGATGAGGATTCAACTGGAGAGTGATCTGATGATTGAATGTGTCTGTGTGGAGTGCAGAAATATGTGGCTCTGAAAGTTCAAAAGAGTGCACAACATTACACGGAAGCGGCGCAAGATGAGATTACAATATTGAAGCAGATTGCGGAAGGTGACCCTGGGGACTGTAGGGGAGTGGTGAAATTGTTAGACCACTTTAAGCATACGGGTCCGAATGGAACACATGTGTGCATGGTTTTTGAATACCTAGGGGACAATCTTCTGACGCTCATTAAAGCGTACAATTACAGGGGTTTACCGCTGCACATGGTGAAGCAGCTTGCAAGGGAAATTTTGATAGGCCTTGATTACCTGCACCGGCAGCTCTCCATCATCCACACTGACTTGAAGCCTGAAAATGTTCTACTATTCTCTCCATTGGATCCCACCAAGGATCCTCGTAATTCCGATTATGTACCGCCGGTGTTCCCAAGTCCTGGTGAAAAACCGCAGACTCCTTCCCGCGTAGACAAGGCACCTCCTCCAAGTCTTTCTAAGAATCAGAAGAAAAAGGCGAAAAGAAATGCAAAGAAAGCAAGTGGGAATGGCAACGATAGGGAAAGAGAAAATGCTGACATGGATTCGCGCGTGTCGAAGTTGGAAAAGGAAGAACTGCACAATTTTGCCCAAGAACTTGCAGAGACCATAAATGCAACAGACGGGTTGCGTGGTGGAAAGGATGGTAGTGGAGATGTTTGCGACGAGCAATCAAATGCAAAAGAAGAAGATCCTCCAAGTGTCAGCGATGCACCCAAAAGTGGACGCATTTCGTCTCTGTCAGAGGACTTGAGCAGACTGGATTTGCGATGTAAAATAGTGGATTTGGGGAATGCTTGTTGGACCTATAAGCAATTTACTGCTGATATTCAAACGCGGCAGTATCGATGTCCAGAAGTTCTGCTGGGTTCAAAATATTCCACTCCAGCTGACATATGGTCATTTGCGTGTATTGTTTTTGAGCTGGCCACTGGAGACGTCCTTTTTGATCCCCGAAGTGGAGATGACTTTGACAGAGATGAGGTGAGTCTTCGAATTTAGATGTCTTCGGTTAGTGACGTGTAGCCCCTTTGAAGCAGGGGTCCTTTTGATTTTGTGCACTGTAATCTGAGTCGGCATGAGACTTTCTCTAAGCTATGGCGCTCGTTTATATTCGCAGGATCATTTAGCGCTTATGATGGAATTATTGGGTCGTATGCCACGCAAGGTTCGTTTCTTCTCTTTACTTCTGACTACCTCTCTTCTTCTGCTCAGAGCTGCATCAGCGTTATTTCTACAGCGATCATATAATTGAAGGCACCATCTCATTTTCTTCCTGTCTGATAAAAATCAATTTGATTTTGCAGGTTGCTTTATCAGGGAGGCATTCCCGTGACTATTTTAACCGGCATGGAGACCTGCGGCACATTCGAAGATTACAGTATTGGCCTTTGGACAACGTGTTAATAGAGAAATACGATTTTTCCGAGCAAGATGCACAGGAGTTCGCTGATTTTTTAGTGCCATTACTGGATTTCAATCCTGACAAACGGCCCACTGCTGGTCCATGCCTCCAGCATTCGTGGTTGGGTTCAGTATCTCTTCCGGCGTATGGGGAGTGGATTGGAGACTGTGATGCTGTGCAAGAAGGGCTTCGTAATATTGCATTAGCTGATGGTGTCGTAGAAGCTACCTCTAATGGCATTAAGTCGAAGAAGCAGCTAGTGCGGAATGAAGGTAGTCATTCCAAGAAATAGTCTGTTAATTAGTATTATGGGTTTAATCAGTGCTCGTTGTACATGAGATTTTGTTCTGGCACTCACTTTCAGCATATCCCGCTTCTTCTCAGCTGCATTTTTCGGTGGCCTATGAAGGGCATCTAATCGAAGCATCTTGTATTGTGACACTTGTAGCTGCTTTTTCTCTGCTCAGAAAGGAAGCTATTTTTAAGAAGTTACTTGATAATGGTCTTATTAGCAGGAGTGACCTTTTACTTTTTAGGTAGAGTGTCGATCATGCCTGGCAAATTGGGCTCGTGATGTATTAGATTACCATCAGATAATGAGAACGAGTTCTTTTTTCTTTTTTCTTTTTTCTTTCTGTTTTTTCCTATTTTTTGGTGAAAGGGGTAGCTGCCCATCTATTTCTTGCTCATATACCTCAGCTCACGTTTCGCTTTTGTCATTCCTTTCCCAGCTTCTTGCATTAACGCCACAAGAACTTCTCTGACAAAAACTTGTTGGGGCTTTCATGAGCAGTGTATTCGAAGTGGTAACGATGTTTTGCTTGATGCTAGCAGCATTGCATGTTCTTTGCAGAAAACAGCTTTCAAAACCCTGAACACACATAGAAAGCCTAGTGTGGTTTAAACATCTTTATAACGATAGGGATTTCTAGTGATAACATAGGATCTCCTCAGACCAGAAGATAAATCCAGGTTTGATCTAGTTTAGCCACTCCAATACCAGCTGTTTAATAGCCCATGGAATTGGGTTTTATTTCAAGTGCAGAGCTAACTGAACCTAACTCTAGCAGGGATGGTTTCTGTGATACAAGCTGATGATGTTGAAAGGATAAGCAGAGGTTTAATACTAAAACCTGGTGCCATCTATATGAAGTCATAGAGGCCAATCAATCATTGTACAGAATGAAACTGATGAAGGGCTGCCTTAGATCACCTAGTAGTTGAGCAGAAGGGAGTTGAAGAAGAGATGGAGCAGCAACTGGCAATGCAAGACTATCTTTGCTGTGGCTGTTTGCACATGCTGTCATATTGATGGAACAGGGGTTTTTGGAGACGGTGTGATTGCTGCTGCATGGACAGGATATCAAATAACCTAATAAGGTGGTTGTTATCAGAAGCATGTGGTCTGCATGTTCTTGGGATTTGATCATTTTGTGAACATCTGAACCCACTTCAGTGCAGTACTGGAAAGAGGGGGTCAGACATTCAGTGATGGAGAGAGGGATGGGGAATTGCCAAAATTTGCTTTGACCCAACTGACACAACAGTAGGTATCATTGGTAACCTTTATCTGAATTCACTGCGCTCTAATCTACACCCAGAGCATTGTGAGCCATGTGATGATAAAGATGTGAATACCCAACAGGACAGTGTATGTTAAACAAAGTGAAAGCAAACAAATGATGAAAGATAGGAAAGAAAGAAGAGATGGGTATATATGAGGTTGGTGTTGGGAGTTGTCTCCCAAGACTTCTACACACTTCCTTGTCCACAAAATGGGACACACATCATCAATGCACTGGCTATCTTCTGAATTGTGAAGAAACCCCCCCTCAATTTGGTGTAACTGTGGTTTCTGGCATCCATCAGAAGGGTGCACTGTTTGGGCTAGAACAAGTATCCTTCTGCAAAACTTCACAAAAAAGAAAAAAGAAAAAACAGAAACAGAAATGCAGATCAGCCTGAGGCATTTGTGTGTACACACTGCTTTTGCCAGGTCTGTGTGAATGACACAAAGCTGCACTTTAAAATGACTGCCCGTGTGAGTTCAATAATGGAGAACACAACCAAGATTTATTTATTTATTGAATATACATTTAAAATAAATAAAAAATAAACCAAAAAAAATAATACTGAAGGTATGTAAAAAAAGGGAGTATAAAACTCATACCATTCATCCTAAAAATGTAAGCAAAGAAGAACAAAAAAAAAAAAAAAAAAAAAAAAACACATAACTCATCAGTGCCACCCACAATCAACAACACCTATTCCACAATGAACTCTTCAATGCTTCCAACCTTTCAATGTATGAGTGGACAACTCTTTTCACTACCTTCTTCTTATCCCTTCCTTCCTTCTTCCTATTAAAATTATTTCATTCATGCACTGGTCCATGAATCTTTCACTTCCCTTCTTCCTGTGGCTTCTGATTGTTTGTGTACCAATAGAGTCCCCCCCTTGGGTGTCAACAACAGGCATGATCAGGTGGGGACCGAAAAAACAGTAAACAAACAGAGGCTGCTGAGTCTGCACATCCTACCCCCTTTCCTCCATAAATGCAACCCAACATGAACTGTATGTAGTGAATAGCTGTCAGTCTTTATTGCTGCTTCTGCTTCTTGCTTGCTTGCTTGCTCCTCGCTTTGCAATGTAAGCTTCATCTCACAAACACAGGGAACAAAAGGGGGCTTGAGAAAAAGGTCTATTCTGCAGTGTTCCCTGATTTTTGATCAGGTTTTAAATTTGATGGTTTTAATAAGATTCTTAGTTCTTGCAAATTCATGATTAATCTCCAAAAAATATAATCATATTGTACTAATTTTACATTGAAGGAAATAGTATTGCACTACTTTACCAACTAAAATTTACTTTATTACTGTATCCTAGATCCATATAAATTCTTAAAGTTTCAGATCACATCCAGAGTCTGTAAAAACTATTGCAAAGTTACACTCTTCACTTGATGAACTTAGTTTAGTTTGTTGAAACTGTGATCAAATCAAATCTTTTACCTCATCAGTGTACACAACAAAGATTATGTCATGTCATAGTTCAGACTATTGAGGTTCTGCTTGTATATATAATTATTCAATTAATCCAGGTGGAACTTTACCACCTCTTAAATAAATGAAGTATTTAACGACTACCTTTGTTCTGATTTTGGTCCTTGTTTAGTAATTTACAATACACACTAAACTTAATGCAGTATGTAGAATTACTTTGTATGTGACTACATATAATGTTTTAATTGTCAATAAAACATGAGAATTTCAATTCAAGAAATGATGTGTCAATTCAAACATATCCCAAGTGACAATATTTTTTATATATATATATAAAAGTGGGAATTGTTAAATTGACCCATGCATTTACTAAATCAACCATCGTTATCATCCATCCATTCGCCCTCATCCATCCATCCGACCAACCTTCCCTGCACTGTCTCCTCATTCTAGACTGTTCTAGATACTTCCACCCAGCCATGGAGTAGGGGCTCGATCACCGTGATCCCTTCCAAAAGCCTCCTCGAATGGTTTCTTCTGACAGGGAGGCTACCAAGCAACGCGGGCTTCCGGGCACTTATTCCCGACCCGGGTCATCTGAGGTGGGAGTCCACCTCATCGTGACCTTCCACCTGGATGTGCCACGCAGGCAAGCATCCCCGCTGACGTGGACCTCTCATGGCCACAAGCTCACTCACTGTCTTGGTTTGTCCTCTGATTTACCAGCACTTCCCATTTGATTCTTGGTAAAAAAAAAAAAAAAGAAAAAAAAAGAAAGAAAGAAAGAAAGAAAGAGGATCATGTCGTCAAAAAGGCAAAAAGCTTCTGAAAAAAGGTCATACATTTACCTCTTTGATACTTCCACACAATCAGGTTTTGTGTGGTATTGAAAAAAAAGAAAAATAAAGAAAACCCTTCCATTTTCGTTAGTGGTAAATAAAGTTTATTTTATTTTTATTAAAGTCGTTGTGTTTAAACCAACTGTATTCTTATTCAGAAATGGTTGTAGAATATGTGAGTTGGAGTTTCTACCTTCTTTATGATTTTGAAACATTTAGTAAATTTAAGTCTTCTTTTAAAAAAAAAAGAAAAAAAAACTTTTGAGGATTGCTGATTCTTTTTGGTTGTTAAGTATATAAGAAGACTTTCACATATGTATGTGAGACTTGAATTGGATCAAAACTAGATTAAAATGGATACAGGTGTTTGTACAAGTGAGAATTTAGTGGGTTAGAAGTTTTCTCAAAGAGTGTAAGAAAACATTCACCAAAATAAATTAGCATGGTATTTTTGGTAAAATGCCAATGGTTGAATAATTGACAAATCAATTATTGAATTTATCATTACCATAATTATTTATTTTTTTCATATGGATACAAATTGTGTGAAATATATTTTTAATAAAAATAAATTGAATTTAAAAGTATCATTGTAAGAAATATAAGCATGTCATTTATTTTAAGAATTACACATGTATTTTTATTGCAAGAAAAAACAATAAACCAATAAATCTTTTAGTATTCCTACTAGTAACAACCTAGAGATGCCTTCACACTAAAAAATTAAAAAAATATTGAAGAAGTTAAAATTAAAAATTAGAAAACATAAAAACATATACATACATGCATGATTTGTTTCCAAGATATTATCAAAGTGTCAATATTTTAGAATACATAATAAATCAAATTAAAATTTATAAATTTATATATTTAATATAAATAATTATTTGATGAATAATAATTAATTAAAATAATTGATAATACTGATATTTATCAAGTAAAATATGTCTACAAAATAGTCTATGTGTCCTTTGAGATCCTTTTAGAATATTTTACACAATTTTTTTTTTTTTTTTTTTTTTTTTTTTGAAAAATTCTTTAAAAAAGATCTTTTTGATTTACTTACCATTCATTTTGTCATAGATATACTATATAAGAGACCAAATAAGAAGTTGAATAAAAGAGTTTCAACAAGAAATTAGTAAGGACTTGATTAAACCAGATGGATGTAAGAGCAGCACGAAGAGAGGTGAGCTAGAGCTCTAAAAGATGTGTTGCCAAGATTAAGGATTTTCTCAGCCTTGACTCTAATATATATAGGTATAAGGAAGTTTTTTACAAAGTTTCTATGTTGCTTGAAGACAAAGTAATCCTAGGAAGGTTCTTGAGAAGTTTTTATATCCTAGTAGTAGCTTCATAGAGAAGTCATCCTAAAATAAATTTAGATTTTTGAAGATAGCATCAATAAAACTTGTATACCTTTTGTAGTACATTAACTATATTTTTTGCAAGTTCCCATATAAACTCATTTATATTATAGCTGTGCTAATGAATAAAATATTTCAACTTCATTCTTCTTTGGTAAGAATCAAGGACCTTTTCCACCTCATATTTCACATGTTTATCTATTTCAATGTAAGGTCATGATGATTGTATCTTTGTAGAATAGTTGATTTTGAATAAGCTTCTTAGAGAGAAACATGAAGGATTGGATGTACCTTCATGGATGTGGGTAGTTTCAATTAATAAGCCATCGGATTGATTTGCTTTAAAATACAAAATGATTCAGATCTTTAGTAGTCCAACTAATTGCAAAGTTGATTACTCTTGATATTTTGTCAAAGAAGC